GCCTCTGTCGCTCTGCCTCTGGCTCTCTGGCTCCCGGGACCTCTCTGGAGTTCTGTCTCTGTCCACATCTCTGAATCTGTACGACTCAGAGTACGTCCCCCCTTGGTTTTTGTAAATTGCCTTCTCACCCCCCTCGGCTCTGCATTCTTTCTGTCGGGTTCTTGCATCCCACGCACTCACAGCCAGGCACACAGACGCCGTCCGTCTGTCCGCCCACTCAGCCCGTTGGTGTTGTGTGGTCCTGGAAGGTGCAGCTATTGTTGGGTAGGAGTGACCCTTAGCAGACCCTGAGCAACTGTCCCCAGATTGGACTTTGGCCAGGGTGATGCTGGGGTGTCCGTCAGCACCCATCTGCTTGGTGCTCACACCTTGTCCTACCCAGCACCCATCCCTTGGGGTTCCTGTGCAAAGGGCCCAGGCTGGGCAACTCCAAGATAAGCCAAAGGAAGGGCTAAGCCAAGTGGGGAGGTGACAACGCCCCTATCACTCTTGGCTCCCAGGATCCCAGGACCTCAGACACAGTCTCAAACTGTCGTGATCTCTACCTTCCACCGCTCCAGAGGGCAATAGGATCCCTCCTTTTAAAAAGAGGCCCAGAGAGGCCAAATCCTTTACCTGAGCCTCAAAGCAGGGCAGTTCCAGCTCTCTGCCCCTCCCCCGTGGCTGTCCCCTCAGCCCTTCCTGGCGCCCAGAGGGTGGGAAAGCTAAGCTTGCATCGTGGAGGAGAGCAGCAGAATGCCAAGCGGTGCGATTAGCGGCTGACGATGGCCCCTCCTGACTCCATTCGGGGCGTTGAGATTTCTCTGCCTGGTCACACACTTTTCTCTCTGTGGGAACGGAAATCGTTTCAGCATGGTAAATAGCGCCAGCCCAGCGCCCAGGACAGGGCTCCTGCAGGAGGATAGCTCCAGGGCTGGGGGAAGACTACTGGCCAGAGTGTGCGCTGCCCGGGGTCCAATCCCTTTGGGTCTGCGCTGCTGGGGGGCTGGGGGCGTGAAGTGGGAGCAGCCTCTGGGAGGCATGTGTGGAAACCCAGGGTGACTGGGGGTGAACATGGGTGCTTAGCGTCCTTCACTTCCTCCCAGTGCCTGAGGTGGTAACCCTTCTGGCCTGGGGTTCTGACTGGCCCCATGGGGAGAGTTGGGAGCCAGCTGCCCCTGCCTGCCTCTGACTGCCCAGGGTTCCCATTGAAAGTGCCACATCCTGGCCAGGGGCAAACCAAGAGTGCCGGTCCCCTGGACATGCACCCTGTCTTCTCGAGTGGGGACCTCAGAAGGACTCACTCCCAGGATGGAGAAACTGAGGCCCGGGCTGCTGGTGACCAAGAGAGAAAAGGACAGCAGGGCTGAGCTACCAACCCTGAGGTTCTTGGAGTGGAGCTTGGTGCCGGGAATCAGAGCATGGAAGAGGGGCAAGGAGACAGGCCCACCGTCAGGTATAGTCGGGCTTTGGACCTGTGAGATTCCCGTGGGGCCCTGAGGGTGGGCTGCAAATTAGGAAACCCAATTCAAAAGCACGTGCCCCTGATTTCCCTTCATGCAGGTGCCAGTGCCAATTAGAATTCATCCCTTGGAACAGCTGGGCCTGGTGCAAGGCCCCCTGAATTGATCCCCTCAGAAGAAAAAGAGAGAGAGAGAGAGCAAGCATGTGTGCGTGTACTCACACACAGGTGAGGCCACCTGCCGGCCTCTCTTGTGCCCTTGTCTATGGATGGCTAATACACACATCCGCGGGATGAAATTGGCGGCTCTCTAGCATTTTTTTCCCCCAAAGTGCCAGCTGCCAATTGGATTGAATTAGATTTCACAGGGGCTTTTGCAATACATGGAATTCACCAGCAAATTACTCTTAAAGAGGGAAAATCAATCATTTGGAGCAGAGATAAGCTGAAGGCAAGGCAGCCTTGGATTGATCCCGTCTGCGCGAGCGTGTGTGGAATTCAGCAGATAACCTGGGGAGACGCCTCCGGCAGAGAGAGGGGCAGCACAGGGGGCGGGGTGGGGGTGGAGAAGTGGAGACCAAAAGGAAGGGGCGAGAGAGGAGGAAGGAGAAACAGGGGAGACCAGGGCGGGGAGGACCGCACTAAGAGAGAGAGAGAAGGGGCCAGGAGCCAGGGCCGTGGGAGAACAGGGAACATGGAAGTGTGGCCACAGAGTCCAGGCTTCTCAGGAAAGGGAGGCCCCGGAGGGGCAGGGCCTGCTCCCGTCACACAGCAGGAAAGGCAGTCCAGCAAAAGCAGGTTCCTGCCGCTGGGCCCACGGAGGACCTTGGGGATGTCCATGTGGTCCAGTGGTCAGTACCGCCCCCTGGGGGCCCTGGAGGGTCCAGGCGGCTGCCAAAGCAGACACCTACCCTGTGTCCTGGGTGATGGGCTGTAGTGCAGAGGTTTCACGGGGTCATTTTATCTCTGGAGAGGGGCCTCTAACTCCCATTTCCACGGAGTCCGTCCTAACTCAGCGTGAGCCCATGGCACAAAGTGGACTGTCCCAGTGAGCTCCCATGCCGGTAATTGGTGTAGTAGAGAACCTCCTCTCTCTCCTGAGGGTCCGCTGGTGGGTTTGAACGGCTGGCTTTGGGGTTAGCAGCCCAACATGTACCCACTACACCTCCAGGGCTCCTTTGAAGAGGCAGTCAATAGGCCAAATAAGTTAGGAAACGTAGGGTCAAGGTGGATGTGAGCTGAAACCCGGGCATCCCAACCCCCGGGACATGCCAGGGAGGTGCCAGCAGGATCAGATTACCCAATAAGCAAGGTAAGCACTGGCTTATTGTGCTTGCTTACTAGTCTGAAGGGAACAATTCCACATTTTGTCACCACATCAAGGGGTCTCCTTCTCGGTCTGGCTGGCATCTCTGCCCTGCCCCACAGGCCCTTCCTGCGGAACCCATGCCTCTTTTCACATTTCCCCACTGCCAGGGACAGAGCACCCAGGAAGCCCGGTACGCACGGGCTTACTTGGGCTTGCTTATTGGTCTGTAGTGATGTCTCACATGTGAATTTGTTTGCTACAGAGAAATAAGCACAAAATAAGCCTGTGCCTTCCTGGTGTCAACATCAGTTCTTCTGAGGCTTTGAGACATGTAGGCAGGTCAGTGGGCCTTGTGGCTGGGGCTGGGGCATGGGGGGTAAGGGGGGCTGTTAGCGGTGAAGGCCCTGGCCTCTGGAGGCCCCCCTTCCTCTGCTCGTGGACTCTGGCATCCTGCAGGCAGGCCAAGGACAGGAAAAGGCAGTCTCCCCCTCAGGTACAGGGTGCCTCCGGGAGAAGACAGCTTTGAGGTGAAGGGGCTGAGGAGGGGTCTCCCCCCTGCCCAGGTTACCTCGTGATTGGGGTGAATGCGGGAAGGGCTGGACATAGGACTGCTGAAGAGCATGTTGTCCGTGGAGTTGGATTTCCGGTCACTCAGTAGCGGGGATTAGGGAGGCAGAGGAGGGGGCCCCTGTCCACGTGGCGATCGCCTCACTCCTGCACACACCCCAACTTGCCCCTCCTGTCCCTGGACCGGATGTAGAAATGGGCCCCCCACCCAGGAGTGCCGCCTCCCTTCTAGAAGGGTCATAATAGCGCCCATTCCCCGGAACCTTCACTAAGACACGGCAGCCCGCCCCCCTGGGAAGCTGTAGTCTGCCCGTTTGACAGGCGGAGAAGTCCCCTGCACAGGTAGATCTGATTCCTCATGCAAAAGTGCACAGCTACGAAGGGTGGAGTGTGGATGCAGTCTGACTCCATAGCCTGCCCTTGAAGCCCCCCGAGGAGCGGCTACAGCCCTGAAGGCTTTGGCCTCGTGGGGCCCTTTCCTGGCTGCCTGGGTGTCTGGATGAGGT